TTGCCTGATATGCGATGTTCACCGGTTTTTGTCATCTTCGTTCTTCGAAGGAATTTTCAAGCCCACTGTTTTTATGGCCATTGACTCCCTGGTAGAAGTTTTAGAGAATTTTTCGTTTCTCTTAAAATCCTTTCTTTCCCCTTTTTGACCATCTAGCGGGAGTGCACTCTTATGGTTCGCGATACTCAACTCCATATCATGGGCACGCGTAGCCAATTCTTCAAAATTTCGAGGCTTAATCCCCTGTAAGATGTAAAGAAGCCCCCAATGCATCCCTTGGATACACATCTCAATTGCCGACACCTCCGATAGCTTATCCTTGCAATTTAGGCTTAGTGCACGCCAACGGTTGATGTAATCCACAACCGGTTCATCTTTCCACTGCTTCGCGTTAGTAAGCTCGATCATACTCACAATACGACGCGTGCTGTAGAAGCGATTCAAGAATTCATGTTCCATCTCTTCCCAACTGTTGATGGACTCGGGTTCCAAATCGACATACCAATCGAAAGCATTTCCCTTGAGTGATCTAACGAATTGTTTCACCAAGAGATCGCCGTTAGTCCCCGCATTGTTGCAAGTTTCGATGAAATGAGCAATATGTTGCTTGGGGTTCCCCTTTCCGTCGAATTGTTGAAGTTTTGGGGGTTGGTATCCCGCTGGCATCCTCAATGCATCTATCCGCTTAGTGTACGGCTTTGAGTACATGGGTGAGACTTGAGACGGTCCTCCATATTGCGCTTTGATAGTATTGGCGATCATCTCTTGCAATTGTTGTACAGATAGCGTGGCAACGGACATCGAAGAATGAGTGGCGCCTTGCACGAAGTCCGGCTTGGGATGTGCTTCTTCCACTTGCTTTGCTTTCTCGTCACGAAGCGGGTAAGATTCGTGCTTCGGGCTAAACTCCCCAACCTCTGACTGTTCCAACTTATCCATTAATTGAGCGATTTTAATGTCTTTGTCTTCGACTATTTTTTGAAGATTGGCCACTGTTTGGGTCAAGTGCGCCAATTGCTCATCCACGGAAGTCGCATCAACCACCATAACCGGCAATGTGGTGAAGGCTTGAGATTTGGAGTCGATCTCTTCCGAGCCCGAGGAGCTTGAGCCGTTTGTCGTAGTTGTATTATCGATCTTGCCCCCGGTGGATGATAAACCAACAACGGTGGCAATCTCGGCAGCCTTTTGGATCAAAGAGTTTTGGTTCTTCATTGGAGCCATTGGATCGTTGAACACGAGGATATGCGCTTCGATGTAGGAGAGGAGATGATAGGCAAAGTTGTCCCACCGGGCGTGCCAATTTGTTAACCTCAAATTTAAATGTCTGCAAAATAAATTACAAGACAAGAAAAAATAGGAACAAATAAATATATTTTAATCAAAACGAAATGGGTTACAATCTTTGTCGATTCCTCTGAATCTTCTCCTAGATTTAATCCAAGGGCCGAAGCTTGTTCTTGAATTGAGAGCTTGATTCCTTCCTTGATTTGCGGAAGTAGATATGGATATCTAAAAATCGATTTGGGGATTTCTAGGTCTTTGTGGATATGGCGCCTTGATGAAGATGTAGAACCTCCGCGGTTGTTGTTCTTCGTCGTGGCAAGAGCTCGAAACTTGAGAGCTTTTGAATGCTTGATGTACGCCTTGCTTGATGCTTGTGTACTTTGATCACCCCCTCCTTGTATATGTTTGAGACCTACTTTTATAGACTCGGTTTTAGGGTTTCTTGACTTGAAATTTGGACCGGTGGGTTTGACCACTTGCCACTTCACGTGGGCTAGATTTTATAAGCCCAAATAGCTAACCCAAATGAATAAGAATTTAGTACTTATTTTGAGTTAACTCACATCGCACATTTGCGGAGCCCAAATTTAGTGTGGACTTCGATATAAAGCCCAAACTCTTCACGGGCTTTGATTTGAGATTCAAATTAATAACCGATTTATTTGGATTATTAATTTGTAATTTAATCTCAAAAATTGATATAAGCCCAAATTTATTATGGACTTTTAATCGAGATCCGAATTAATAACCCATTTATTTAGGCTATTAATTCGTAATTTAATCTCAATTTTGATGTCAACACCCACAACATTTGACCCAAACCCAAACATTTCAGCAAGTTTTAGGAGGTTAAACCGCATTTTTAAGGTAGATACTTTTCTGCTTTGTATATTTTTTTTTGTCATTATTTTATGGCTTTAGATTTGTAAATTCTCTAACGTTTGCATAATTTTTTTATTTTATTTCAATGTGGGGAGCAATTGGTTCACTTGATGGAACATTAATACCGGCAATTGTTCCAATTTCACAACAGACTATGTATAGGGGTAGAGGAAAGGGAGAATGTTATCAAAATATTTTAGGAATATGCAACTTTAATATGATTTTTACGTTCGTTTGGGCAGGTTGGGAATGGGTAACACATGATTCAAGACTCTTAACGGATACAGTTGTTGATCTAAGAAACGGGTTTCCATGGCCTCCACCTGGTATTACTTTAAATTCAAACTAAATTCTTAATATTTATACGTTAAATTTTATATTACTTTATATTTTTTAAATGGTTACAGGTAAATAATATCTTTGTGATGCTTCATATACACATACTAGAGAATTTATGGTTCCATATCGTAATGTACAATATTGATTAGGAGATTATCGTTGTAGGCGTCATTTAACTAAAGAATAAATATTTAACCATGCTCATGCTCAACTAAGGAATGTCATCGAACGAGTTTATGGAGTTCTGAAGAAAAGATTTTCGATTTTTCAAAAAATGGCCCCTTTTTTGTTTAATGTGCAGAGAAATATAATGACTGCTTGTTTTGCGGTGCATGATTTTATAAGGAAAGATCATATAAGTGATACACTTTTTGAGGAGTTTGATCAACCTAATATGACATTTGATGGTACGAACGAGGATGAGCTAAACCTTGTGAATGATGGTACAACTACTGGACCATAGTGGGCGGACAAAGACATGCAATACATAGCAACTATGCGCGACGAGATAGCAACCCGGTTGATGCCTAGAGGGACCAGGACCAATTAGAATATATTTTTTTTATGTTAATTTTAGGGACTTAATATTTTTGAGCCAATTTTAATGACTTTAATGTATTTTTATATTTTCTCTGCTTTTATTTATGAAGGTTATTTTTATTAGTTATTTGAATTTGAAATTTGAAATTTATATTTTTTCTATGTTAAATATTATAATTTTATATCAAGATATTTGATGAGGGGCGATGGCTATAGCGCAACTATGGCGGTGGAGGCGGCGTTAATAAGGGGATGATTATGGAGGTAGGAGGCGATGACAACTATGGCGGTGGAGGTCAGATCAACGGCGGATGGTGGCGGCTAGGTTTTAATTTGGTCGACGGCTAGGGTTTAATTTGGTCGATGATTATGGCGGCTAGGGTTTAATTTGGTCGATGGCTAGGGTTTAATTTGATCAGATCTATGGCGGATGGTGGCGGCTATGGCGGCTAGGTTTTAATACCGTCGACGGCTAGGGTTTAATTTTGTGAACGGCTATGGCGGCTAGGGTTTAATTTGGTCGATGGCTAGGGTTTAATTTGGTCGGCGGCTTGGGTTGGTGGACGACTAGGTTTTTGCAGGTATGGTAGGCTTTAATTTGGTCGACTGCTATGACGGCTAGGGTTTAATTTGGTCGACGGCTATGACAGCTAGGGTTTAATTTGGTCGATGACTAGGGTTTAATTTGGTCCGCGGCTAGGGTTGGTGGACGACTAGGATTTTGCAGGTAGGGTTTGGCGGCAGCTGAAATTTGTTGGCTGCTATGATTTAACGGTGGCTGGAAGATTTTGGAAGTTAGGGTTTGGCAGCGGGAGTTGGTGAATGACAGAATTCGGAATAATACGCCACATTATACAGTAGTATACCATAGCGTACCATAGCATACCATAGTATTTTTTTAAAATCTGCTGTATTATTTGACAAAAACGAAACTACGGGTGTCTGCAGATGACTACGACCGGAAAAAAAGTAAAACAATTATAATTTTCAATATTATGTAGAAAAAAATAGATTCTTATAGTAATGAAAAAAAAAACAAAAACAGAAACGTATTCCATGTAAAAAATAAAATACAAAAATGTTATATCATATCATAGTACACCATAGTACATGATAGAATATTTACAATCTGATATAATTTCGAATTTTTTAGTGGAGGGGCATTCTTAGAATGAATTTTCATAAAGGATGTGAAACAAATTTTAATTACGCTTGTCATTTAGTTCTAATAAGGTTTGTCACAACGGATTTATATCTTAAGACCCCTTATATGTAATAGAAAACATAATATTTTGTATATCTCAATTAGTTTCTTACCATCCTAGATATATCCTGCCCTAATTTATAGGCAATATTATAGACCTAATTGATTTTGTACTCTTGTATAAAGATGTACCTTTTCCAATTGAATATGAGGTCTTTACAAATAAACCCATCAATGGGTACTTATTCATAAAGAGATCCAGACAAAAAACTCATTTACAAATAAGTCCACACATGGTCCAGATTTTTGTGAAAGACTAAAATAGCATCTCATACTTTAATATGCTCCAATTTCATCCTTAATTTAATTTAACCTCAATTTGACCCTAAAATTCACAAATTATTCAATTTTGACCCAAAATTTTTTTTGTTTCAAATTTTTTTTGCCGCCGGATTCTGGCGTTGACTTTTCGATTTTTTTTTTCTTTTTTCTGTAACATTTTTTTTCGTTTAAACATCAATATTGCTGTGATTGACAGTAATATTAACTATATTACTGTTAAACACGGTAAAATTAACTATACTACAGTTTAACACAGTAATATTGATATATTAATCTCTAGCACAGTAATATTAACACAACAAAACTCATTATTATTGTGTAATAGAGTAATATTACTATGTTGACCGTTCAACAAATGTAAACATAATAAAAAGCCAAAAGAATTAATATTACTGTCAGTGACAGTAATATTACTATAACAACAATAATATTACCGTCAACCATAGTAATATTACAATAATAGACAGTAATATTATTACATTACTCCGTGAATAACTCAAACAAACAAAAAATCCAAACAAAATAATAATATTGATGTTGTTGACAACAATATTACTATAACAACAGTAATATTACCGTTAACCACAATAATATTATTGTGTTTACAATAATATTACAATAATAGACAGTAATATTATTACGTTACTCCGTGAATAACTCAAACAAAACAAAAAACCTAAAAAATAATAATATTGATGTTGTTGACAGTAATATTATTGTGTGTACAATTATTTTACTATCAACGACAGTAATATAATTAGGTTGACTTGTCAAGAAATCAAACAAAATAAAACTAATTAACAAAAAATAAGAAATAATAATATTACGTTAATTTACGGTCAACGGCAAAATAATTACATAATGTATTATCAACGGCAGTACAATTACGTTAATTAACAGTGATTAACAACATAATTACGTTAATTTACTGTCAGTGACAACACAATTACGGTCAACATTTAGCGGCGGACGTAAAAAAAATAATAAAAAATAAAAAAAATAATAATAAAAAAGTGAACGCCGGAAACCGGCGAAAAAATCCGGAAGAGAAAAAAGAAAAAAAAGAAAAAAAGTCAACGCCGGAATCCGGCGACAAAAATGTTTTTTTGAAAAAAAAAAGTTTTGAAAAAAAAAAGTCAAAATTGGATTTTTGTGGTCAAAATTGGATTTTTGTGGACAAAATTGATTAAATTGGGGTTACAAGAATTGGGTATAAAGGGATGGGGGTAATTTTTGTGGACAAAATTAATGTTTCCTTTATTTATAATAAATTTTAAAGGGATGAGCTTATTGGTGAAAGAGATATAGCTCATAAACTTAAAATAATAACGATGCTTGGTTGGAGACTTATACACAAAAACTCCATTGAATAATATAACAATATTTCACACACCAAACATCTTATTTTTTTATTTTTTTTTCAAGAGAACGACACCCGATGAGGGTGGGGGGTTAGGCTTGACCCCCTACCTGTTTATAAAACAATATTTAAGAAGTACATAATGAGTTTTGCTCAAATTGCTACTGCCCAACATATGGCTAATAATAGCAATTGACAAACAAAAGACAATAGCTAACTGACAAAACGTTAAGAATACGGGCAAAACAGGTGGCCCAAATAATAAAAGGG